TCCCACGGCCCAGGGCCCTGATCTGGCTTCAGGGATCCCTGTGTCTCAGAAGTCTTAGCAGCCCTTGTCTTTGCTCTTAAGACCACGAGAGCATGCGGAAATGTGGCATAGGGGCGTGGGCCAGATGGAGACAGGACCAGGGCAGCTTTTATAGCCAGACCTTCCGGCTGGGTCTCAGAGCTGGGAGAGGTGACGTCACAGGAGAGTGAGCTGAGGGCATCACCTGACTTGGTGAACCATCTGAGCATGTGGCCCGAGTGCCCACGTGGATGCAACCCTTCTCTTGGGGGCTTTGTGAACACGAGCAGCCCCCCACACTCACTATGTGGGTTATGTGATGGATAGTTTTAGGCCATGGGGTGCCCAGATGATCGGTCTAACATTTTCCAAGGTGTGTCTGTGAGGGTCCTTCAGACAACATTAACATCTGAACATGCAGACTAAGTAAAGCAGAGTGACCTCTCCAATGTGAACGGCCTCAGCTAATCTGCTAAGGGTCTAAACAGAACAAAAACTCTGGGAGAGAATTTTATGTCTCTTATTTATGTCTTTGGTCTAGGTACAGGGGTCCACAAACTTTTAAACAGGGGGCCAGTTCACTGTCCCTTAGACCGTCGGCAGGCCGGACTGCGGGCCCTGGGACAAGTTGGCTACTAAGCAGGACAGGTGGTGGCAGCAAAAACACCTGGCAGGCCGGATAAATGTCCTAGGTGGGCTGCATGTTTGAGCTATGGCCCTGCGGGCCATGGTTTGAGGACGCCTGGTAGGACATCAGCTTCCTCCTGCATTTAAACTTAGACCTGGCCTATAAATGTAAACATCTACTCTCTGGGGTCTCCAATTCGTTGATTGCAGATTTTGTCACTTCTCAGGCTCCATAATCACGTAAGCCAATTCCTTATAATAAATCCCTTAGCACACATGGGAATTCTCTGGAGAAGCTGAATAACCAGAAGCCTGGTAACTTCTGAGCAAGCCACTACAGACATACCATACTGAGTAAAAAGGAACAAGACCTGAGGAGTGTGAGCCCCTTTACATGATCAGGCCCAGAAAGGCATTTAAAATGTAGCATCAGTCACATCTCACTCCCCTTTGATCTAAATAATTATCTATTAAAGCCACTTGCTAGTCACACTCTGGACCAGGGGAACCTGCAGCCTTAAGGACACACGTGGCCTTCTAGGTCCTTAAGTGTGGCCTTTTGAATGAATCCAAATTTTACAAAATACTTTTTTAAATCAATAGATTTTTGTTCCTTTTATATTTGTATTGTATTTTTAAGATTAACATATATTTCTTTTTGAGACAGAGTCTCACTATGTTGCCCTGGCTGGAGCTCACGGCAACCTCCAACTCTTGGGTTTAAGCAACTCTGTTGCCTCAGCCTCCCAAGTAGCTGGGACTACAAGTGCCCACCACAATGTCTAGCTATTTTTTGTTGCAGCTGTCATTGTTATGTAGCTGGCCCAGGCTGGGTTTGAACCTGCCAGCCTCGGTGTATGTGTCCGGCACTGTAACCATTGTGCTACAGGTGCTGAGCCTAGATGAACGTATTTAAAATGCCAAACTACAAAGTAAGTTTCTGGGTGGTGCCTGTGGCTCAGTGGGTAGGGCTCCAGCACCATATACCAAGGGTGGCAGGTTCAAACCCAGCCCTGGCCAAACTGCAACAACAAAAAATAGCTGGACATTGTGGCAGGAGCAGGAGTAGTGGTCCCAACTACTCAGGAGGCTGAGGCAAGAGAATCACCTAAGCCCAGGAATTAGAGGTTGATGTGAGCTGTGATGTCATGGCACTCTACCGAGAGCAATAAAGTGAGACTCTGTCTCTAAAAAAAAATTAATAAAATAAGTTTCAATGAAATTACCCTCCCAGACTGAATACCGCAATTAGAACATTAGTAAGCCATAGGGGCTAAAGTGACGACCTCTATGCCCCTGATTTAGCTCTAACTTCCCTGGCCTGACTAGTGACACTACCACATGAGGCTGGTTGGCAACTGTTTATGAGGGTTGAGTCCACCAGTCTGTTATTAGGTTTTGACAATGGTTCATCATGTTTCTGCTTGAAATTGAATTTGTGAATAGTCGCACAGTTCAGCGATATTTTTTAATTCAGTCTGCCCATCATGTCAAAGAAGACCAAAAAAGGCAAAACGAAGAAAACAGGTTTTTAAATGAAGGTTGAGAATTGCAATAATATCACTGCTGCTGAAAATAAGATGATTTTCTTGCCTGTAAAACTGCAATATCAACATTAAAGAAATGCAATGCTCATCAGCATTACAACACTCATAAGAACCACAAAACAGGATTTTAAATTAGAGGGAGAAGCGTGAAAGGTTTTATTGCAGAAACTAAAAGATAAAAACCAAAAGCAAAACAATTCTTTAAAGCAGCAATAGGATCTGGAAGTAATGCCACTGAAGCAACTTGTAAAGCAGCTCAGACACTGGCAAGAGTTTACTGGGGGAATCGTGAGAGAATGTGCTGTCCTAGTTGTAAGATGCTGAGACCCTGACAACGTTTCAAGGTACAAACCTCCTCTTTGAAGGAGAGCCAGGACTGATGTGTAGTATGAATTAACCTTCATTTTAGGAGAACAATGCCATCCAATGCTTCAAAAGGGAAATGCACATTCTTCAATCTCTGTGGATGAATCAACTGATACTACTGATTCAGTGCAGGTTTTACACCTCATTTGGGTCATAACAGAAGATTTCTTTGCTACAAGGTACTCACTTTGGGCACTCACTGTTGCAAACAGAACACAGAGGACAGATGTTTTTACCAGATTTCAGCTGGACTGAATTTAGTAAATTCGGTGAGGGTAGGTACAGATGGTGCACTTTCCAAGACAGGATAACACCAAGGGAAGGGTTTATTGCTCCAGAAAAAAAAGTATTAACGGATCCAAATGCTCTCATCTCTCATTTATTTTCATTGTATCTTGCACCAACAAATCTCTGTGCTAAAGCTACTATTTTTGGTGACACTTGCAACAAGTTATAAATATTGTTAACCATATCTGTGCAAATGCAATACCACATTGTCAGTTTCATAATACACTAAGTTGAATGACTATTCAGTGTGAATTTGCTATATCATTCTCTAGTGCATTGGTTATCGCAACAACAGGTATTAACCGAAATGTTTTTTCCCCATGAGAACACATGGTTAAAGTTTATAAATAACTGAACCATTTGATCCTGTAATTCCGCTGTTAGGTATATACCGAGAAGACCATAAATCACGCTATAATACAGGTATCTGTACCAGAATGTTCATTGCAGCCCAATTCACAATCGCTAGGTCATGGAAGAAGCCCAAGTGCCCATGGATCCATGAATGGATCAATAAATTGTGGTATATGTACACCATGGAATACTATACAACCACAAAGAAAGATAGAGACCTTGCCTCCTTCATGTTTACATGGATGGAGCTGGAAAATGTCCTCCTTAGCAAAGTATCTCAAGAATAGAAGAAAAAGTATCCAATGTACTCAACACTATTATGAAACTAATTGTTAGCTATCTTAGGAAAGTTACAATCCAAATGGAGCCCTAGACTACCCGGAAAGGGGAGGGGGGAGGGCAGGGGGGAGGATGGGTGAAGAGAATGATATTGTGGGGATCACGCCTATAATTTATCCTATTAGGGTACATGTGAATTTGTCTAAAGGTTGAATATAAATGTCTTAACACAACAATTATGAGAAAGACATGATGGCTATGTTAGCCAATTGGATGAGAGTTTTCCAAACTGCATATGGAAGCAACACACTGTATCCTATGATAGAATTAATGTACACAATTATGATCTAATAAAAAATAAATTAAAAAAAAGAACTGAACCAGCAACATGAGTTGTTGAAAGAGATTTCTATAGGAATGCAGCATTTGTTTGATATCACGTTAAATCAAAATGACTTGAACATTTCTTTAAAGTAATATAATTACTTTAAAGTAATATAAAGTAATTATACGGTAATATAATTCTTTATAAGTAATATAAGGTAAAAGTAAGTCTATGTATCATATGAGGCAAAAAATCCAAGCATTTCCAAAAAAGCTATCATTTTTCAAAACATTTTTTCAAAAGGAGGTTGTGGATGAGCAGAAACCATGAACCTCCATGTTGAAACCAACTATTCAAGTGCTTTCCAATCAAAAGCAGACATAAAAAAGTCATGAAAAGGTTAGTTAACTTTCAAATTAACAGACAATTTTCATTTTTTGAGATTATTAAGTACATAGTTAATAGTTATTCAAGCTTTTTTTTTTTTTTTTTTGGCAGTTTTTGGCCAGGGCTGGGTTTGAACCAACCCATCACTTCCAGTATATGGGGCTGGTGCCCTACTCCTTTGAGCCATAGGCACCAGCCCATAGTTATTGAAGTTTTACAGATTATAAACTTTTTAAGTATAACTAATTGAAGATTCTTAAATGTTGGCCTTATTTATCATAGTTGAATTAATGTGGTTTCCAACATGAAAAGGCTCCCCACTCCTGCTCTGGGTTAACTGACGTCAGGTAGCCATAAAATGCCGCACACCCTGTAGTTCAGCAATGTATGGCCAGTCACTAAACAAGTTATTTCTGTAAAACAATGAGAATTCCTGAGGAATAGCTTTTGTAATGTCTGCTCAGACTCTCTTTTATTTTCCAGAACATTCTCTAGGGTAAAGTGGCTGTGGCCCCACCCCCAGCCCAGCTGCAGTCCTCAACCTTTGCCGGTGAGCAAACTCCTCATAGATCTCAGAGCGTCCTGTTCTTCCAGGGACCTCCTGTAGGAGGCGCCACGTGAAGGGCTCAGCACTGGGGATGTGTTTGATAGATGCTGCTGTGATACAAGGAGGGTGGACGGCAGAGAGGGGAAGAAACGAGTGTGGGAAGGGTCCCTGCACAGGCACTGGCAGAAGCAGGAACCTCAGAGCACACACCCTCAACAGGGAGCTGTAGACGCTACGGGGCCACTGCCCAGGCAGACATTACCTCTGAGGAAGTGGGCTTGCAGTATCCAGCTCCAAACACTAGGTTTTCCAGGGAAATGATGGATTGCTCCTGTCCCATGTCTGGGCCACCTTTACCAAGCCAGGAGCCTCTTCCTGGACGAGTGAAACTGGAAGGAAGAAAATTGAGGCAGCTGAAAAATGAAGTGAAGGAAGCCGCATGCTCATTAGCTCAGCCCCCTGAGCAGACTCACCATGGAGCCTTTGGAGTAAATTGTTCAGATGGAGCACTTTACCCCGGGGTGTCTGCACATGACGTTTTCGGATGTCTTGAAAATAAGGGGTGCACCTGACACATAAGCTTACGAGCCAAGGACGATATACATCCTGCAAGGTACACAGAGGAATGCCCACCCCTGAATGCCAACGACACACCTGTGAGGGGCACTGAGGCAGAGCCCAAGGCTCTGTAAACCACAGGGGCAGGTCGAATGGGCCCCAGGAGGCCAGGGGAAGCCCCAAGGGGACACAGTCTGAGACACGTCTGTGCTCATGAACCTCCGATCATCTGTGGAAAAGCATGAAACATCCCCTCCATGACCCACCCGGGAGTCTGGTTGGATGTCAGAGACTCATAATCGAAGAAGCACCATCAGAGTCAGTGCTAGCTGGGAATGCTGAAATCCTTTCCACAGACAATACGCAGGTCCTACAGGGCTCTGCGACGTGTTGGAAAGAGCAGCTGACGCACTGTGATGGCCACTATCAACTTCAAGAGGAAAGGGGATTAGGAAAGGCTGCGGGCTTCCTCAGATTTATCGTATTTGGGTTTCTGACCATGTCTCTTCCATGTAGCTTTTTGATTTCCAACAGCTGATACGTCAGTAAAGTCTACTTATACTAATTTTCCCCCTATCGTTCAGACTCTCCTCTTCAATAGCCTAGGGTCAATTTTCATATAATACAAGCATATTTGATAAGTATGTTTGAATCCCCTAGCAAGAGTTAAAGTCTCTGACGGCAAAGATCTTGATAATACATTGCCCCAGGGGGCATCACCTTCACTATTAGTGCTTAAGAAGGAATTGGAGACCCATGTCCCTGTTTAAAATACTGACAGAGAAATAATGTTCTTTGTCTGTTTAATTCATTTACTCAAGTATTTATTAGGTTCATACACATGCCAGACAGTGTGCTGGGTGCCAGGGTGGCAGGCAGAGGAAGGCATGGGCCCCCACCCCAAGAGACGTTTTGCTCTAGCGTGGGAAGTAGACAGATAAGACCAATTTGTGTTGATGTGACACCATGGGGGCCAACTCAGCAGTGGGTACAGAAGCAGTTCACAGAACCGACGGGGGAACAAGGATGATAGTCAGAGATGATACTCAAGCAGAGACTGCCAAGTGCTGAGAGGCAGGCAGTGGGCCTGTCGGCCAGGCCTTGAACCCCAGCGGGGCCCTCCCAGGCCGAGATACAGGGGCTGAGCTTCTCAACCTCCTGCTCCTCATCTCCTCCAACGTCACAAGGGTTGGTAACGGCCCCTAAACTACGGCATCATTGTGAGGGTTCAATGGGATGAGGCAGAGACACTTCAGTACAGTGTCCGGCAAACAGTGCAGATTCAATAAATGCTGGGAGCTCTTCTTAATAATGTCAGAAATATAATAAAATATAATGACATTATTGTGATTTGTTTTGAATTGCAAGTTGAAACAAAACTGCAATTTAACTAGAAAATGGATAGAAGGAATATCCCGGAAGAAAAGTGGACTGTGTGTGTACGTCTGTGTACATGTGTGCACAAGTGTGTGGATGGCACATTTGTGGGACACACTACAAATTAATAACTAAAATAACGTGCCATTTACCTGAGGGCAGCCTCGATTAGATTTTCCAGTGGATCTGAATCCCTCAAGAGAAATACAACTGAACTCATTTAAGGATTAAAAATTACATTCTTTTATTCAGTCTGGTTTAGCGAAGGTTAAGGATCTTTTGAGGTTGAATTTTAATTTCACACCTGCTTCATACTGATTGGGTTCAGCTGCTGCTGCCAAGAACTACTTTTCTGGAAAAGCCACTGCCTGCCCTATTTGGCAGGTATTTCCCACAGCTTTAAGGGTTCCCTTTTGTTCCCAGCTACCGTGCGCAGCTGAGAGAAATTCTTCCTGCAAAATCCAGAGAATAGAAGACGGGTCTATTTTTACCCCATCCCTGGAGAAGTCTAAACTCTTACTGTGAATTTCCATCTCTGCTCCTCCTTAGCAAGGACTGTTTCTGTCGGAGGTTAAACCTTTTCTAAGATTTCCTGGATCCCAACATGCTCATTATATCATAGTATCAGGGCTCCCCAGCATGAAAGGCATGGAGCGTGCCACGATCCCACCTCCAACTCATCCTTCTGACCCCATTCTGATGCCACTCCCGTCCAGCCCACTCACAGCTGCTGGGACCTTCCCACAGCACCACACTCAGCAGGTCACCCTCCTGCTCGAAGCCTCTACACTACATTCTTTTATGACAAACAGATTCTCAATTCTCCAATGTGTCATTAATTACCTTGTTACCACATAACTCCAATCTACTCTCTCAGATTCATTTTTCACTGTCAGTCTCCCATCCCCTGGGTGGAACACGAAGGCTGTTTCTTCTAGAAAACCTTCCCTCATGTCCCGTATGCAGAAGTTCATCTTGCCTATGCTGATGGTTACTTACCATTTTGTAAGTGCTCATTATGTGCTAGACATAAGGCCCAGATCAGGGCCTGTGGATGGTACTAAGTAAATATCAATAGATTGAATGAATGGCCAAGGGTTTCACAGGTGCCAGCTCACTTAATTTCCAAAGTCTTCTGCTGTCTACTGAAATTGGAGCGCCCATGCTCAGTCTAATAGAGCTAACAAACGGGGACTCAGGATTGCAAGCTGGCTCCCTGTGAGCCTAGAGACTGTCCTTTATCCCTGCCCCATTCTGAGATCCCCTGTGACTCACACACCCCTCGCTTTAACGGGTATCGCTCTGAATTAGAGTTCACAGCTCTGTGTTCTGCCAGACCCCGAGCCTTTAAAGGCCCTGCTCTATTCCTCATGGAGCTTCCAGTCTTAGCCTTTCTAGAGTGGCTGAAGCTTAGTGTTACCCACCCGGAACCAAGCACACTTTCACCAACTGTAACACGACTGTACCCCCTCCTATCCCTGTTGGTTTAGTATCACACCCAAGTTTTTAGAAATTCCTCCTCAGGTCGGGCACAGTGGCTCATACTGATAACCCTAGCACTTTCAGAGGCTGAGATGGGCGAACTGCTTGAGTTCAGGAGTTTGAGAACAGCAAGAGCAGGAGGGAGACCATGTCTCTACTAAAAATAGAAAACTTAGCCAGGCAACATGGCAGGTGCCTGTAGTCCCAGCTACTCGGGAGGCTGAGGCAAGAAGATCGCTTGAGCCCAAGAGTTTCAGGTTGCTGTGGGCTATGATGATGCCATGGCATTGTACCCAGAGTGACAGAGTGAGACTGTGTCTCAAAAGAAAGAAAAGTCTCCCTCATTCATTCATATGTTGAAACAGATATTTAGAAAAGTTGGATCCCCCCCCCCCCAAATAAGTGGTATGGCTAGACCAGAAGATTGTCTGGACCCCAGCTGGTGACAATTTGCTCTCCAGGCCCTGACTCCCAGGACCAACCCTCATGAGTTGTCTGTCCTCAGGGAAGACAGATCACTCCCTCACTCTGCCCTGGCACCATCTATTTGCTAAGCCTCAGAGTGAGCCACCAGCCACAGACCATCCGTGCAGGAAACCTCTTCTCTCCTTCACTGGTTCTTGAATTCTATCTCTTCTGTCACTTCCCAAGGTCGGGTCTACTTTCTTTTGTTCCTGTAACTGCGAATCTTATAATATTTTCTACCAAATCTTTCTACAGTAGCATTTGCCATATTATAATTTCATGTATCCAAACTGGTCCACACTCGACTGTGAAGTGCTTGAGGGACAGATCTACCCCAAGGTATCCTTAGATCCCATTAGCAGAATGTGCTGTGTGGCCCTGACAACTTTGCTAGAGCACAACAGCCCTGCAATAAAACCCGCTGCATGAAACAATGAAAGGTCCCTGGTACACATGTCTCCTTTATCTTCAGGCCCAGGGCTTCTGACCAAACTTGTCTCATCTCAGTTCACGATTCCAGACTTAGGTGTCACCCTCACCAGCTCTCTCCAGCCCTCAGTCCCCTGTGCCCTTTGCTCTGACCATGAGTCTGACTTCAACCTGCTGTGGGAATTTTATCTGTAGAGCCCAGCATGGAATCAGCAGATGGGCACAGTCACTGGGTCCAGACCTCTAGGGACCAGGTCCTAGTCCCCCATTTCCTACTCTCTGACCTCAGCAGAGAACAGGGGCTTCAGGCCTGGGACAACAAATTTAGTGGACTCAAGTCTCCCTCACATACATTTAAACTCTGAACACTTGAGAAGCTATACAGAAAATGGGAACTGGGAAACTCTCCCTGAAACTGCATGTTGTGCGAATCTATCCCTGACCGTCCCAGTGCACACACGCAGCTCTCGCCCGCGGGCGTGTGTGGTGCGCTGAGCTGACGTGCGGCCGGTGTCTCCACGGGAAGCAGGCGTGAAGGGCACAGTACAACACACTGGCTGCCGTCACCTCTCTTCCTGCCCTCCAGGAATTCACAGAACCTTGGTGCTTCACAGGACCTGGGAGATGCTCCAGGAAAATCCACTGCCGGGGAGGGCGACCCCCGTAGTGGACCTTCCTCCTCTGACAGGTAACTTGGGGGAGAACGAAGCTGAACTCTTGCCATTTGCCTGCTGCAAACTCATCTGGGAGTTATAGGGCCTTATATAAATGGGACATATCAGTGCTCCTGTGTGGGAGATGAAGGTTATGTGGCTCGGGGACATTAGAGGACTTCTCAAATAAGACCCAGAAACGAGTGAAGCCAGGCACAGAATCCGAGTCTTCCTGGTGAGGGCTGTAGTTTGTAGGAATTTACAGGTTTTCAGCCTGTAGCTCTGTGCCAGTCTCCCCTTGATGCCCCCTCCCTTCCCCTCCCAGTGCCACCAGCCTAGGAGAAGCACCCTTGTCTATGCTGATGTTCCCAGGCAAACCTCGAAGCTATCTGCCAGGCCTGTGCAGCTGTCCCCTTCCCAGGACTACAGCTGTCCCCTCCTCAGGACTGCAGCTGCCTACCTCCCCAGAGCCTCAGCTGCCTGCTCCCTTGGGCCTCAGCTGCCTGCTCCCCGGGGCCACAGCCGCCCGCTCCCCAGGGCCACAGCCGCCCGCTCCCCAGGGCCACAGCTGTCCATCTCCAGGACTGCAGCTGCCCACCTCCCAGGGCGGCAGCTGCTTGCTCCTTGGGGCTGCCTCCTGACTCCGTACCTGATCAGCGGCTGCCGCAGAGACACCAGGGCTGCGTGGATGGTCACAGAGATCACAGACAGGTGGAAATAATCGAACATGACTGGCACCTGGTGATGCAGCCCATTCCTCGGGTGAAAGTGCAAGCCAAGCGTGCGGCTGCTGATCATGGGTGGCCCGGCCACATCCCTCAACCTGGAAGGCAAGCAATGAGCTCCTGTGAGTGACAGCAGATTGGCCTGCTTCCTCCAGGCAAGTCTGTGTCGCAGCCTGTCACTGGGCCACGCACTGTGTATGCATCGTCGTATCCAATCCTGCAGATACTCTCCCATGCTTGACACATAAAGAAATCTAGGCTCAGAAAGAGAAAGAACTCACTACCTATCACACAGTAGCTGCATGGCACATCTGGGACTCCCACTCTGCTGTCATTGACACAAGCCCACGTGTCAGTGATGAATAACATGCCCAGACTTGCTTTTCAAGTTCATCCCAACACTGAGTCCTTGTGGCTTTCCTCTCCTCAACTTCTCTCCTATTCCCCCCCCCCCCCAGATGTCCACACATCCACAGCTGCACTTCCAATGCTGCCTTGACTGTGTGAGTCCGTGAGATTCCTACCTCTTCAGGACAGGGACTGTGCCCAACTCATCCTTACTGCACCGACACCCAGCCTAGCATCTGGCATGCTACAGAAGTCCGTCAGATGTTTACTTATGAAAATGAACAGTGTACTGAGGAATGAATGGCTCCCAGAGCCCAGTGGTCTGACCGGGTTCATCGAGGACTTTCCCACTGCTGCCTCAGCATTTCGTAATTGGTACGGGTCTTATGCTAAGAGATAAACTAACTTGCAGGCAAGATCCAACAGTGTCTTTTGTTATAAAAAGGAGACTTATTCTTGTCTGAATAAAAGCCAACCACGTTAGCCCTCAGGAGGACCCAGCTCTAATCTCTAAAGACGAGTCTCTTGGGCTCTGTAAGTTTCTCTGAAAAACAGGAAACTGGGAAGGGGCAGCTGCCATGAGCAGAGCTGGGAGAAGATGCACCTCCTTCCTCCACAGATGAATCAGTGTGGCACAGAGAGATCAAGGTGAAGGAAGCAGCTTCTAAAGCCCAACTCAAGAGGCTTTACTTCCCTGAAATCCCTGTTGCTTGCGTGCAAGTGAACACCAAATAAAAGAGCAACTAAATCACTGGAGCCCAGTGTGACTCTGTAAATAGAATAGAATAATGTTCTTATATACCAGGAAGAAACCCGATTGGAGGGGGTAGAGAGTATACCCTATGAGTCTCAGAAAGTCATTAATATTGATATGCATTTTTAATCTGGCATTGGTTTATTGAGGCCTTACTATAAAATGAGCGAGGTTTTTTTTCCCCCTTGATCTGCATGACAATCCTATGAGATATTCACTAAAGTTATTCCATTTAAGGAAGAGAAAGTAAAACCAACATGAGACAATTAATTTGTTCAAAGTCACAAGGCAAAGCTGACATGCTAGACCAAGTCTTTCTGGTTCCATAGTCAGTTCTGAGTTACTATCCGATACTGTTTTGAATTCATTCAGATACAGGGTCCCCGAAATCATGAAAATATCATCTGAATTAAAAAATAGGGGGTTAAATACATCTCAGGGGAGCAAAGATAGCAAAACAAGGGTGAACAAGAATTTAAGCCACAGAGGTAGAAGAAAGGAATTAAGAATAACAGAGCTGATAATTCCCCCATGCTCTGAAGTTAACGTTATCTGAAATGTTAATGGAAAAAACTTACATCCTGGAGGTAAAGTGGATCTCAATTTAGAAAAGTACGTGATAAACTTGGTAGCATGAGAGGAGAATTCCTGGGTTCTTATAAAGAAACTAAGACAAAAAAAATTAAATAGACAAAAAACACACAAAGAAAGAGCCTGGTATTTAACCTGGAGATGAAGATACGGCATAAAGAACATTCTTTATCTGAAGTGCCATCCAGACTCGGAGTTTTCTGGGTGGTTATAAGGAGTAAGATCTCAGCTGAGGGGAGACACACAAGAAGGGCTCCTTGAAGTAAAGAAGAATTTCCTGATCAGCAAAACTTCTCAGAGAAGGTCCCCATCTCTGAGCAATCAGATGTCGATGCATCTTTTAAAGTACAAAGTACAAAGGTGAGGTCCGACCAGCTCAGGGATTCTCACCCTCAGTGGTACTAACTCGGGAGACTGAATGATGCTTTGTAGAGGAGGGGCCTGGCGTGTGTGTTGTAAGATAGTGAACAGCATCCCTGACCTTTGCTTGTTAGATGCCAGTATGTCATTGTGACAATCCTATCTGCCTCACACCTTTCTCCAAAGGCCGACTTTCTTTCCAACTGAAACTCAGAAGCAAAGCCCCAGCCTCCATTCTGCTACTTCCCGTTGACCATCCCTGGCACAATTGCAACAACCAAAAATTGTCTCTGGACATGGTCACATGTTCCCAGGAAGCAGAGACTTCCCATCCCCATTGAGAGCCTGGACAGGAGGGGCTTCAAGAGCTTTTACGGTAGTGCCAAAGAAGATGAAATACTTGAGAATTAACTTATCTAACAAAGGATGTGAAAGATCTCTATAATGAGAATTACAAAACCCTGAGAAAAGAAATAGCTGAAGATGTTAACAAATGGAAAATATGCCATGCCCGTGGCTGGGAAGAACCAACATTGTTAAAATGTCCATCCCACCTGAAGCACTCTACAGAGTTAATGCAATCCCTATCAAAGCACCAATGTCATGCTTTAAAGAATTTGAAAAAAAAGTACTTCGTTTTATGTGGAATCAGAAAAAACCTCAAATAGCCAATACATTACTTAGAAATAAAAGCAAATCAGGAGGCATCACTCTACCAGACTTTAGGTGATACTAGAAATCTATAGTGGTCAAAACAGCATGGTACTGGCACAAAAAATAGAGATGTAGATATATGGAAAAGAATACAGAGTCTAGAGATGAACCTAGCCACATAGAATCACTTGATCTTTGATAAACCTCACAGAAACATATATTGGGGGAAAGGTTCCCTTTTTAACAAATGGCGCTGGGAAAACTGGCTAGTGGCCTTTTCAGTAGAAGATTGAAACTGGACCCCCACCTTTCACCACTAAGAAAAATCGATTCTCAGTGGATAAAAGATTTAAACTTAAGACATAAAACTATAAAACTACTAGAAGAGAGTGCAGGGAAAATGCTTGAAGGTATTGGCCTGGGAAAATATTTTATGAGGAGGACTCCCCTGGCAATTGAAGCAACACTAAAAATATATTACTGGGATCGGATCAAGCTAAAAAGCTTCTGCACAACTAAGGGCACTGCAAGTAAAGCAGACAGACAGCCTTCAGAACGGGAGAAGAATTTTTCAGGTTATGATTCTAACAAAGGATCATAGGTCTGATAACTAGAATCTACAGAGAACTCAAATTAATCAATAAGAAAAGAATAAACAACCCCATCTCTTTGTGGGCAAGAGACTTGAACAGAAACTTCTCTAAAGATGACTGGTAAATGGCCAACAAACACATCAAAAAATGCCCATCATCTTTAATCATTAGAGAAATGCAAATCAAAACCACATTGAGATATGACCTAACTCCAGTACCACATCACAAAATCCCCAAACTGTAGATATTGGTGTGGATGTGCAGATAAGGGGACACTCCTACACTGATGCTGGGGTTGCAAACTAGTACAACCTTTTGGGAAAGAAGTATGGAGAATTTCCAAGGAACTAAAAGTTGACCTACCATTTGATACTGCAATACCATTACTAGGTATCTACCCAGATAAACAAAAAACATTTTACAAAAAAGACATTTGCACCAGAATGTTTATTGAAACCTGATTTATAATGCCAAGTCTTGGAAGCAGCCCAAGTGCTCATCACTCATGAATAGATTAACAAATTGTGGTCTATGTACACTATGGAATACTATGCAGCCATAAAAAGATGGAGACTTCACATCTTTTATGTTTACCTAGTAAAGTATCTTGAGAAAGGGGAAAAAATCATCCAATGTACTCAGTACTATTATGAAACCAATATATAATCACTTACCCATTCATACGAATGGTAAAATATAAATATAGTCCAGAAAGAAGGAGGGAAGAGGAGGGAGAGTGGAGGTGAGTAGGGTGAGTGGAGGGAGGGTATTTGGTGAGATTTCACCCAATGTGCAAAATGCAAGGGTACATTTCAAAACAACTAAGAGTATATTAGAAATGTCACAAAAAATAAGTGAGGCGATGGTTATATTAATTAGTTTGATTTGAGCATAACACATGGTATATCAAATCACCACATTGTATCCTATAAATGTATTCAGTTATGATTTAAGAAAAATTAAATTTAAAAAAAGAGTCCAGCATCCCTGAAATGAGACGCTGTGCTTCCACATTCTGTTCCTGCTCAGGCCCACTGAAGCTACAGAAGCCAGCAGACGTGGTCATGTTTCAAAGCCTAATGTCTACCCCCAGGATATACTACAGACACCACATCATCCTTAAACCCAATTTATAAAAATGAAAAAATATGGCATTTTCAATCTTCCCAGGCTCTCGATTCTTCCTGCTCCTCTTAGCTAATCTTATACTTCAGGAAAACCTCCTGCTCCAATTGTTATTAAGTGCTTTGTATTATAGAAAGGAAATGGTACATTGGAGACTGGCCTCACCAGCATCCAGGAAGCCATAAGTGCAGGACAACATTTATTCAGCAGGTCATGAACTTGGCCTGCTACACCCATTGTCTCTCTCTCTTCATCTCTGTAACAAACCTAGGAGGTCTGTATTCTATAATATGCCCATTTTGTAAATTAGGCTCCTGAGATTTATAAAAGTACCAGAAATTCCCCCAATATTTTATGAGTATAGACTCTAAATGGCTGAATTTTGTACACTCTGGGCCAACCTCCTGTACCAGGCTTTCTACAGTGTACTACTACTGTCTTGCTGGTAAGAAGGTCTCATTTATTCTGTCTGCTTATCAGACTTATCATTAAGCTTCTTGGAGGATATGGTTGGAGAATGACTTCTTGGCTGAGTTTGGAACCACTGGCAGGTTCTGGGATCAACTAGAAAGGTCTACCATGGAGCCATGGGTACAAGTTTCCGAAGGAAGTGGGCACAGAGAGCGAGGGCAGAAGTAGGTTACTGGGGGAGTGAATTATGGAAAGCCCAATGGTTGAGGGGAAATATGAGAACAGGGGCTTCATGTCTGAACTGAGAGATTGGGAAGAAGACCAGCCTCTTTTAGGAAAATCTGAGTTCAATATGGTAAAAGAACAAGTTCTGGGGAAGGTGTTAAGCACATAAAAATTTTTAAGCATTCACTATCTCACCAAGGAAGAAGCAGATGTGATGATAGAGGCAGATGGCCAGAGGGGCTGGTGTCCAGAGAAAGAAAAAAGTGAAAAATCTGTGATCTTGAGCCCAGGCCTGGTTTCAGCACCATGGACAGATGCCCCGCCAGCCCAGAGACCAGCCAAGCCCAGCTACACTCGAGCAGGTGCCCTCAGTCCCCAGGCACAGCTGCAGGACTCTGACAGCTCGGTAGAAGTCCATCTTTGGTTCATATTCCCTCTGACTCAACCCCTCATTTTACAAAATCCCCCCCATAACAATCAGCAAGATTTCAGGGATGGGACAGTCCTCAAGCAGGGCAAGAAAGTCCCAAGAGGAAGTCAGAGAACTGAAGGGGCCATCCTGCCAGCATTGGTGTGTCAGTCTCCCGCCTCCCCATCTGCAAAGGAAAAGGTGAAGCATTTGCTCAAGAGGTTGTAGAGACCAGAAGTGAGGACCAACTGGTTTGCAGAGAGTGCCTGGGTGTGCTGAGATCCTTCTAACAGAGGAAGATGGAGTTTTTCTTCTCTGAACCTTAAGCCAAAGAATGAAGTCTTCAAGAGAGCTTTCCCTGTGTGCTCTAGGACTGAGTGGACATAGGTCCTGGGCCAGACTCATCCTGCAGAGGCCAGCAGGAGAGAAGCTGAAGGTGGCTAGAGTTGGTCTAAGGAAGAGCAGGTGGCCATGCCCAAGGGGTTTCCCCACAAATGTGGGATGTGGGCCAAAATGCTTGCATCTATTCCCATGGGTCACATGTGGGTTCCTTAGAGAAGGACGTATCCCAAATAGCTTCCTGCCAGGAATAAGTCACACAGCCACAAGAGGGATCATTATATCAGAGAACTGCTGTGGGGTGGGGGGCTAGGAAGGGTCAGAGGGGCTGCCTAACAGCTATAACTCTAAGGATCCAAAGCACATTCCAAGACAATGCAGTGTCTACTACAGGAAGGCTCCTGCCCACAAACAAAGCCCTGGTCCTCCCACCTGTCTCCCCCACCCTCATTGTGCTGGACCTGTAAGGTCCCCAAACTGTAGTGGGGATGGTAGGAGCAGGATGTGAAGTCCTCACCTTGCCTGGATTCTGCTGGGAGTTTCCTACCCTGAAACAGCCTGGCCTGGAAGTGGGATGGATGAACAGAAAGAAGCTACACATTGAATGAGAGGTTAGAGTTTTGGCATTACTCTTGACTGGACCGCTTAATACTTAAGGAAAGGATAATTTACCCGAAGGAACCCAGAGAGGCTTAGTGGCATGAGAGTTCACTGCAGGGTGGGAGGAAGCAGTTAGGAGAGAGAAGATTTGTCTCCTGCTTATTTAATCAGCAGGCTACACATAAATGGATTTTCAATTTTCAGAGAGTTGAAACACAATAGCATATACCTAGCACAAAGATGCAGAACCTGGCATGATCTCCTTTGATTTAAAAGGGGCTTTGAGGTTTGAAGGCCCACAGGGTCATGAATCTAAACCCCCCAATTAATACAACATTGAAACTGCATTCTTTTGGCTTAAGGGTGAGGGAAGAAACACTCCATCTTTCTCTGTTAGAAGGATCTCAGCACACCCAGCCACTCTCTGGGAACCAGTCCTCACTTCTGCTCTCTACAACCTCTTATAGGTACTTTGCAAGTATCAGACATGAGAAGCTGCCCGTTCACAAACCCAGGAAGTCTGGCGCTTTCTGTGTCTACAGCATTTGTGCTACCTGCCTAAAATGCATGCAGTCTGAAATGACCCTGCAGTCACTCTGAGCCTACATCCTGGGCACAGGACCTCACAGTTCATAGGGACCTCATCATCTGTGGGGCATTCTGAGGGCCATGAGGATACCCCAGGAGCAAGGACAGATAGGGCATTGTGCTGGCACAATTCCAGGGTTTCCATGACACTCACTGCTGTTCACTGTCTGTAAAGTGCAGGTCCACCTTGAGCTGAAAATCAACTTCACTCAGTGCGTCTTCCACCTGCAAGAGAAACAAAAGCCCAGGAGCGTCAGGAGTCAGATCCGGTCTGAATGAAAGATCTGGCTAGTCTGTCTCCCGAAGTGTGAAAACAGGATCTCATCAGAAATTAATGCTATTTATGCTGAAAGCAGAATATCCATATATACTCCAGGAAGTTCTGGGTGAACAGGTTACATCACACAGAAAACAGACCAGAGTGGGAAAACAGACCGACTGGTGGAAAAGTCTGAACAAGTCGCCTTATTGCAGCACTCTCCTTTTGAGAGTGTCATTTCCCTACATGTATTTGTTCTAGACCAGTGGTTCTCAACCTTCCTAATGCTGCGACCCTTTAATACAGTTCCTCATGTTGTGGTGACCCCCAACCATAAAATTATTTTCATTGTTACTTCCTAACTGTAATTTTGCTACTGTTATGAATCGTAATGTCAATATCTGATATGTGGGATATATTTAGGCGACCCCTGTGAAAGGGTTGTTCAATCCCCAAAGGGGTCGCAACCTACAGGTTGAGAACCGCTGGTCTAGAGTCTGGTTTGGGGCAGGGGCAGAGAGTCCCATAGAGTTCTGCAGCACCTTTTTTGGGAGGATGGAGCAATGACTCCCAGTGAAATCCCAGCTGGCTAGTGATAAGACAGAGGTGGAGATGCTGTGATCGCTAATCCTTAAGCCCCTGCCGAGGGCAAGCACCACCTTCCACCTGTGCAGAGGAAGAAGCTGGTGCTCAGGACAGTTGTTACTGCTCCAGACGTCTCAACTTCATGAGAAAGCAGCTCTTTCAATTTTGTCTTGAGAGCCATTAATCATTTACATGTGAAGACACTTTAATATTTCACCTGCTGCCCATAGCTGCTTTCACCTTTAGTTTAAAATACTACTTTTTAACATAGAAAACTATGTTCTTCCTGCCAGCTTCTCACATACCCCTAAAGATGTTATCCCTTGTTCTTCTTTTCTCACAAAACAACATCATCTCCACCTTCAGGGGGGCCCGTTTGCTAAATACCACATCTTACCACTCCCTGTATGTGCTCAGTGGGGTGACCCAGCATCTCACTGTGCGCCCCTGATGGGACTTTGCCTCCCCCCACTCCAGGCTGGATGCTGCAGCCCCTCCCCCCTGTAACTGTGAGCACCTGCTTCTTGCCTATCTCAATGTTTAACACGTCTTATTACAATCGTATTATTTTTTCAGCTTTATAACCTGGAAGCCACGAGCCAAGTGTTTTCTGCAGACACGTTTTGTGTAGTCTCCATGGTATTTTTGAAAATGTTTTGAACAAGTAGCAACCATTTAAAATCCAGGCAATTTCACATTTTTATTACACGTTTTCAACTTCTGAAAAAAAAATCCTGGATCTGGCGATGTTGGGCTGGCATTTGGAAGCTCTGTTTGGATCAGGTAATTGGTCCTGCATCCTCTACCCGTTCACTGCAGTCACTGACAATACCCATCTGGCTTGCTCCTAAACCTCCTAGCTGTTCTCCTGCCTGGTGGCCCAGTGATCTGTACATCATTAAGGGAGAGACTAGTACTAACTCCTTCTGGGTCCCCTGCTCCAGGAACAGTGCCTGCTGTCCAGAAAATATTGATGCATCTCTGAAAAATAAAGGGAGCTCTGCCTTATCCCCACATCCTTTGTTTTTGCTTCTTTGCAAGAATGGCCTCATCCTGCATGGAAAGATTTTATCCAGAGGACTTTTCAGAAATGTCTTCCTGGTTAAGCATAATTCAGGCAGAGACATATGGATGAAATTTATCTTTACATCTCCAGGGTTTAAAATTTGTTGTAAAAAAATAAAAAGTACTTAAAAGTTAACATTTTGCTGAATCCAAGTGCTATAAATAAGCTCCTCTCCTAGGTTTGTTTTGCATAATCATGAACCTTGCTTCAAATACACAAGGAAAGCAATACGGTCTCCCGCCACCCGTTCCTTGGAAGTGAGACAGGCAAAGTCAGTCCTCCCAACCATCTTCTGAGCACACATTTGCCTCAGTAATGAAAATTCACTGTCAGCTCCAGTTTTAAACTTGCTGCAATTCCTTAGAAACTAGGAGATAAATCAATGGCCTGGGTAAGCGGTACCTAAATTGAGCCTGGCTATGACTTCACGATGCCTCAATGAATCTTATTTGCAAGATACTTCAGAATGAAGTCACTGTCTTTTCCTACCATGTATTCTATGGAGGGCTGTTGCCTTCCTGCCTTCTCCAAACACACATGCAGGTGCGTGCACACACACATGCATGAACACGTACACACACACGTGCACACACACATGCATGGACATGCACACACGCACACACAAGTGCACACACACATGCACACACGCACATGTGCACACTCATGCACACACACACACAGGGTTAAGTGTAATTCATGCTTTACTCTGCCTCATCTGCAGTAAGGTTATCATCTCCCTGCGAGGGCCATTTTCCCACCAACGGGAAACAGTTTTATATAACTGCAAAAATAATAAAAGGAGCTAATATTTATGAAAGAGTTCTTATACGGTTGGCAATCAACTAACACAAGACACACCCTATCTTATTTAATGTGCATAAAATTTTGAGTCAAGAAATACTGTTTATAGCTCGTGTCTATAGCTCAGTGATTAGGGCACAGGCCATATACACTGGGGCTGGCAGGTTCGAACCGAGCCAAGGCCTGCTAAACAACAATGACAACTACAACAACAACAGTAAAAAAAATAGCTGGGCATTGTGGCAGGCACCTATAGTCCCAGGTGCTCGGGAGGCTGAGGCAAGCAAGAAGATGGTTCTGCTAATCAGTTAGATGTAAGCTTTCCACATTGCATATCAAATCAGCACACTGTACCCCATAAATGCATTAATGTACACAGTTATGATTTTATAAAGAAATTTTTAAAAAAGGAGAAAATCACTTCAGCCCAAGAGTATGAGATTGCTGTGAGCTGTGATGCTACAGCACTCTACTGAGGGTAACATAGTAGGACTTTGTCTCGAAAAGAAAAAAAAAAAAAAAGAAAAACTGTTTACAAATGGAGAAACTGAAGTCACTGCCCAAACCTGACCAGTTAGTGAGCCCCATATCTTATTGCTAGGTACTGTCAAGGGCTCTACTTCTTGGGCTTTTTCCAGGACGGTCAAGTCTGTGTTCTAAGTTGCACATTCTCCCACTAGTTGGTTTAACTCTGCTCATAAAACTGACTCTTGTTTTATCCCACATTCTTAATTTCTCTCCTGAGCTTTGGCACAGCCCGGTGACGAGACAGGCAGCTTTTAAAGATGACCATATCCGTGTAAGTCCCAGTTTCACCACTTAGTATCTGTGTGACCCTGGTCCTGTTAACCTGTCATTTCCTCATCTGTAAGACGGGAGTGAAAGGATTGTGCCTCCTCCACACGATTGCTGTGTGTGAGCTGAGTAAGAAAATGTGCACCAAGAGCTTCACTCACACAAATCTCAATGAATGTTACTTGTGACTGTTGTCATTACTTCTGGTTTGTCAATGGCTCCTGCACACAAAGCATCCATTCTTCTACCAAATCCACATGGGGGTCCTGAACACTCGGACAAACACGGACTTCATGATCAGATTGCCAGTGTTGACACTCCAGCCCTACCAATTCCTGGTGGTGTAACTTTGGAAAAGAACTTCTCTAAATCTCTGCATCCTCATCTGTAAAGCAGGAATAATGAAACACCTCATAATGCTGTTGCAGGGATTCAACGGAATATTCCAGACCAAGAACTCAGCACGCTGCCTGCCACACTGCACACACCTGATAAGCAGAAGATGCCAGTAGAATTAAGCTCACTGCGATTGTCATACAGCAACTCGAATTCCCATCACTCCCCAATAGAAAGGCTCCTCTCCTGTCTACGCTATCAGCAGTGACTCCAAGCCCATTTCAAGCCCAAATCCTAAAGTCAACTTCCCTCTAACTCTCTTCTTTACACGTGTCCTCCACCTCCCATGCTTTACCTGGACCCAGTTCTAGGAGCTGCACTGGCTGCCATGCAGTCCTCCTTTTGGTTCACACTGTCCTGGGTCAGAGCTCCCCTCTGCCATGGTGCTTACCAGCAGAACCTGCATCCATGCCATTGTCTCCCCGTTTTACATATTCTTGCAGACTGGAGTTTCTACATTCCAGCTCTTCTCCTTCAGAATCTGAAAGGAGCCTCCTCCCTTCAGAGCAAGGTGGGCTGGAGGCTGGGAGAGCGTCTAGGTGGTGCCCCGTACCAGCTCCTCCACCTTCCTTCCCAGGTTTGTGTCTCTGCCTCTGCCTGTCCCATTGACAATGACGTTTTCCTCCCAAACTCACCCTCTGCTTTTCTGCTTCATACTGTCCTTGCTCTCCTCTGTCTCAGGAGCTCTTCACTACTTCCCATGGAAGTCTTTCCACAGCCTACTGTCAAAACCAGGGGTCCTCAGACTTTTTAAACAGGGGGCCAGTTCACTGTCCCTCAGACCATTGGAGGGGCAGACTGCAGGCCCCAGGACAAGTCGGCTGCTAAGCAGGACAGGCAGCCATGGTAAAAACACCCAGCAGGCTGGATAAATGTCCTCGGCGGGCCGCATATGGCCTGTGTGCCATAGTTTGAGGATGCCTGGAAACTGAATCAAGCCCCCTGAACAAATACCTGCCCTTCAATCACTAGGCTAGGGAGGAGGGCCATAAATCTGCGTTCTGTACAAGCACTGCCCGGGGACTGGGAAGCAGGTCTACCATGAAGTCACACTCCGGGAAATGCTTTTCCTTTTTAAGCCTATGAAGATGCAACCTTGTTCACAACTTGTTTTTTTTTTTAAAAAATACGTAGTATGTCTGTTCTTCCTCAGAGTGCTAAGCATCTTCTTGTTAATAACTGTATCTCATCTCCTCCGTGGCTGCTGTGAGCTTAGCAGTAACCGTGGGGGCCACCATGAGTAAACACACAGAAGCTGCTTGTGCATTTGGGCTGCAACGTTTCACCTGGGCTTTATTTCCCGTTTTCTGTCCTTCCATCCATATGTTTCTGCCTGTAAACATACTACTATTTTTTTTATTGTCAGTGTTATGTAAGTTTTTTAAGGCTTCTCAAATCTTTTGTGGGGTTAACAGAGCCTACACCCACCCTCACTCCATACGCACTCTTTGTAACTGTTATTCAAACATCCTATAGAATGCCTCAGCTTGGGTCTGGTACTGTCCATGGCCACCCCTTGTGCTCATCTTTGACCTTGCTGCATGAAATAAATCTTCAAGCCTCAAATGGAAGGTCTATTATTAGTTCTCTAAGTGTTCTCCAGATGTCTTTCCGAAAGGAATGTATTAGTTTGCAATCCCATCAGCAGTGTAGAAGTGTTCTCTTTTCTCCACAACCATGCCAGCATCTGTGATGTTGGGATTTTGTGATATGGGCTAATCTTACTGGTGTTGGATGATATCTCAAAGTAGTTTTGATCTGCATTTCTCTGATGATTAAGGATGGTGAGCATTTTTTCCTGCCATTTGATCCTGTAATTCCTCTACTAGGTATATATCCAGAAGACCAAAAATCACACTACAACAAAGATATATGTACCAGAATGTTTACTGCAGCCCAATTCATAATTGCTAAGTCATGGAAGAAGCCCAAGTGCCCATCAAGCCACGAATGGATTAATAAATTGTGGTATATGTATACCATGAAATACTATGTAGCCCTAAAGAAAGATAGATACTCCATTCATGTTTACATGGATGGAGCAGGACAATATTCTTCTTAGCAAAGTATCTCAAGAATGGAAAAAAAAGTATCCAATGTACTCGACCCTACTATGAAACTAATTTATAGCTTTCATAGGAAAGCTGTAACCCAGTTATAGCCCAAGAATATGGGGAAAGGAGAAAGGGAGGGTGGGGAGGGTGAAGGGAGGATGATTGGTGGGATCATGCCTATGGTTCATCTTATCAGGGTACATGTGAATCTTTCTAAATGTAGAATATAAATGTCTTAATACAATAACTAAGAAAATGACACTGGCTATAGTAACCAGTTTGATGAAAATATTTCAAATTGTATATAAAACAGCACACTGTACCCCATGATAGTTTTAATGTACACAGCTATGATTTAATAAAAAAAAAAATCTTCAAGCCTCAGTTTCCCATAGCACACGGAATAGTGCCAGGACAGGCACTTCATGAACACCGGTTGTCCACACGGTGTCTCTGTGAGTTCATGGACATTGCCCAGCTATCTGGCCATAAGGACCTCTTTGATTGTCATAAGCAGATGGATGTTAACTGGAAAAGAGCTGCTGTATTCACTGCAAATGCACGGTCTTTACAGACCTATCCAATTAACTTGAATTGTCCCTGATTTGGAAATGACTATCTGCTGCCACATGGATCACCCAGGCACAGTCATAAATTATTAGTTGATAGAGATAAGAAATGTGACAAGCAGAAGTCAGCGTGCACTGTGAGACCCATCCCTCCCTGCCCAGCCTCAGAACCAACACTCCCCTCCCTGCCCAGCCTCAGAACCAACACTCCCCTCCCTGCCCAGCCTCAGAACCAACACTCCCCTCCCTGCCCAGCCTCAGAACCAAGGCTGGCTACAAGCTCAGAGCAGCTGAAGTTGAGCATTGGGAAAGGTCAGACTCAAAAGGCTTTAAACTCTCAAGGATAGGAGCAAGGCTCTGATGAACTAAAGCAGAATGATGGGCAGGATAGCTCAAAGTGCCCAAACCGGCCTCCATCATGTGTCTGTCACAGCCACTCTGCCAAGGCAGCTCTGTGGGGTCAACATGCCAGGGACAATGGCCCATGTGAAACAGAGTGTGGTTCTCTGATTTGGGGAAGCTGCCCCCGAGTGCAGCCTAACCGGGAGCTTATTAACATTCAAGGCAGAGTGAGGGAATCTTTTCCTAAAGTAATGTAACAACTGTGGTCTAGGGAGGAAATGGGGGGATACACTCAAAATGAGGGAACCGAGTACAGTTCATCAAAGGGATGATTCGAAGGGTGTGGGGAGGGCGTAGGGAAAGCAAGAGATGATGGCTCAGTGCCTCAGGATTAGAGGCGTGACTTCCTTCCCACCCTGGACCTGGAGAGCTGAGCAGAGGGAGCAGCACTCAGAACCGAGAAGAGCAAGGTGCAGCTTGGCCCAGACTGCAGCTGGGGCCTTTGGAAGGAGGACCAAGCAAGTGGCAAGCTGGCAAACACTTAGCAAGTGGCTCTCAGGAAGAAGATTAAAACAGACAGTGATTTGGAGCACTGCCACTTCTAGTGGTACGAATGTTTCCATCACAATTGATTTCAAGCTGCCAATGTGGCATCACTAAATATGGCCCGTGGCAGCCTCCTGCACACCAGCCTGTGTGACCCAGCCTGGAAGGAGCCTGCAGAGTGTGCACCCTGGGCCCATCCTCCTCCCAGGCACCTGCAGAACCTCTCCTGGGCTGAAACCACGTGGAAACTGAGAGCAAATGCACTGAGGAGCAGGGCCTGTGGTCAGCCTCCCAGGGCATGAAGCATATGGAAAATGGGGACAGGGGTGGCCGAGCTCCACAGCTGGCAGGGGTTTGGTGTGGCCTTTTTCATTTTAATTACAAAGAAGCATCTGAGGTCACTTACATGGCCTAAGGAAGACAAGGATCAGATTAACCATAGACTCTGCTGAGTGGGGTGCGTGTTCCTTGCTGTATATGGGAGGCAGCTGCGGCCCGTGTGTGAGCGCAGAGTGAGGCCTGAGTGCCACCAGACAAGGCACACTGGGCTTGTTCATTGCTAATCAGAAAGAAGAGGTTGCAAAGGTGCTAAAATGAAGGGACTCTAAATTCAGTTTATTAATTACACAACTGAGACATTCACTCATCCTTTGTCCAAGTATCTGCAATATAGTTCCATGGCTACCAGGGCTCTGGAGACGCAGAGAGAGGTGAGACTCCAGGCCTGAGAAGCACACAGACTGCTAAGGGGATGATGAAATTCTAAAATAAACTTGTGTCCTTTCACCTTTCTGACATAATCAATAGCTTTCCACTGCCTGAGAATAAGCTTTCAATTCCCTACCCTGGCCCACAATGCTGTGTCTGCCCTCCTGCCTCTCGGTTCTCACCTCCTCTCTGCTGGCTCACTGTGAAGTCACCTTGGCCTCATTGCTCTTCCTGGAATGTCACCCCCCAGGGCTCCTGTGCCCTCCTCCAGCGATACCATCTCCTGAGCTCTGGAGCACTCGGCTCTCCCTTAGCATTTGTGTCTCAGAGGCCTCTACTAGCCAACACTTTCCCTCCAGGGAATAATTCCCTGTGTGTGAAGGTTGTGTCTAAGGCTGTATTGTGCCCTTGACAATCTCATTATCTGAGTGTCTGTCATGAGACAACAGGTTGCTCAGTGGGGTCAGCTATAGCTTCAGTGACCTCTAGTTGGGGTGCACACTTCTCTCTCATCTCACAAGAGTCCCTCACAGACTCAAGAGCTGGGAGTAGTGCCCGGAGAAGGTGCTGCGGTAGCACAGATGTGTCTGGTTTGTTTGATCTAAGCCCCCTAACGCCAGGAGGTATTTTCTTGTTCACTATTTTGTCAGCAGCATATGGTAGGTACTTAAAGGATGCTTGGTACACCTTTGATGGATGGATGGACTAATGTGTAAGGAAGGGCTGGCAGCTTTTCAGTTTCAGACATACAGGGGAATGTGGTCATTACCTAGATCATAAAAGATTGGAATACAAAGCCATGAGGCATGAGGGGAGAAAGTTATTAGATACCCAGGTGCTCCTCCTACTCAGGTGTGAGGAGGAGGCTCCAGATAGATCCTCCTACAATAGGAACACTCTTGCACATCAATCCAGAGGTATCGCAGCAGGAATCATCAGCTGTGATCGACAGCAGAGACTCGAGGTGAGGAGGGGAAAGACAGAGCAGGGCTTGAGGGGGTCACCTCTATGGTTTATCTTACAAGGGTACAAGTGAATCTTTCTAAAAGCAGAGTATGAACGTTTTAACTCAATAACTAAGAAAATGATATGAAGGTTATCTTGACCAGTTTGATGAGAGTATTTCAAATGTACATGAAAACAGCACACTGTACCCCATGATTGCATTCATGTACACAGTTATGCTGTAAGAAATATATATATATATGTATATATATATTTCCCTTGAAAAGGAATATATTCAAGGGAATATATTCAAGGGAATATATATATTCCCTTGAAATGTGTTGATGTGATGTAAAGGCCATCTTTAATCAAGCGTCCAGGAAGCAGAATGAAGCCTCTGGGCTCCCCGGCTTGTGCTGACGTAGTGCCCCGTCATGAGCTGCTCTTCTTCATGCTGATGGACGCACGGTACGTGCATCTGAAAGCCAGCTCCTTGGTGAAATCAGCAAGGACATGCCCAACAGAGCCCATTTATCCACCCTTGGTGTCCTATTTAACTTCTACAGTCAGTCAGCAGCGTGCACACCATCTACCAGGGACCCCTCTACCTCCTGATGAACTATTGACCCCTTCAAGGCAGAGGACCTACCGCCTTCCTCAGCTCCGTCCCTCATCCATGGGCCCAGACAGAACCTACAAAAGGCAGATCCTCCCTAAACACCTGCCGACAGAGTGCCTGAACAGATGAGCAAGTGCGTGAGTGAGGAGTGGGGAGTGAAAGGCTGTAAGTTAGTTGGTGGAGGCTACACGGGATGGGCAAGCATGTGAATGAGACCATGGCGGGGAGATGCATACATAAGGAAGTGCACGATATTATAAAACCACATATTCCTATCTGACGGATCTCTGAGTAAATCCATAGCTTCTCCTTCATTTGCCATTTGCACAGTAATGACAGGGAACAGCTTGATGTCATTGGCAATAGGTTTAAGACTTACCCTTTCCCCATCCAAGAGCAAATGAGCCTGGAAGATGGCGGCATCATTTATGAGCACTTCTTCATTCCGGTACAAGATCTGAAAGACTCGGCTGTGCATGATGCCCTCGTGGACACAGGCTGCACGCAGGCTGCTGCTCTCTGCAAAACAAGAATCGGTAGCAGCCGTGAGCTCCAAGTCTGTCCTGCACCTGTCAGGTGAATGCCTTCTCCTGGGAAGAAAAGGCACCAAACGCCTTCCAACATCCAAGGCTTAAAATCACAGAGAAAGGAGCCCCCAGCATGTAAAGGTTTCTGTTCATTGACTTGGGCTCATAGCAGAAGAATCTTATTTAATTCAGTATAAGCGACATAACCTTGCACAAGGTACTTGCCATGCTTGGGCAATACTCCCTAGTTGGAACGCAGTGCCTATTCCTTTATTTACCTGTCCATATGTCCCTTCCTCTACAAACTGGTTCGTATTCCCCCTCACCTGGAAACAATGAGGAGAAGAACAGGGACTAAGGAACAGAGTCCACCCTTCCTTCTACAAGGACAGAGAGTAAGGAACAGAATCCACCTTTCCTTCTATCAAGACTTCCTAGTGCCCACAGAACCTCCCTCTCCTGAAAGACGATGTTTGCACATCCTGTATGTCATGAAGAACATTCTGCCTTGAGGTTTACCCAAATGTGCTAATCCAAATTGTGCTGTATATCAAGTTTTGTAAGGGACTTGTTAGCTTGTAACCCCTAATGGATTCTAAACCTACCATAATCCCTAAACACTGTTTCAAAGTGACATTAGATTTCAGAAAGACAAATCTATCTGAAGAGATTGAGATCGGAGGCCACCGATCAGAGTTATTATGGGACACAAGTGGGTAAAGTCCTCCAAATCCTTCAACACATGATCTGTGCAGCTGGAAAAGTATAGATGTATTTTGGCGTAAGTGATATTTATATTCACTTATAAATACTCTTTTATTTATTTGTGTAACATAAGGAAATTCTTACCTATCCACAGTAACAAACAGCCACAGGGCACTGTGAGCCTCCAAACTGCCTTTCAGTTGTGTCACTTTCCTTAACCCTGAAGACAAACCCCTAAGGCAAGTCTCACTAGGATGGAGAGACCCAGGCTCAAAGGAGAGGGAGGTGCCTTGGCCTGTCCTTGCTATGAACTGAATGCTTAGGTCTCCCAAAATTCATGTGCTAAAATCCAATCACCAGTGGGCTGGCGTGTGGTGGTGCGACCCTGGGGAGGTGGTCGGTTCATGAGAGCAGAGTGCTCATCAGTGAGGTCAGTGTCTTTACAAGGGTCTGGAGTGCTCACCCTGCCGCCCCTTCCATGATGTGAGGACACAGTGAGAAGAGCCATCAGTCTACAAACCTGGAAAAGGCCCTCACCAGAAAGTGACCACGCTGCACCCTGACCTCAGACTTTCAACAACTAGAACTGTGAGACGTTTCTGCTGTGATGAGTACCCAGGTGACGGTGCTGTTACAGCAGCTGCACTGAGACCCTGCTGAACAGTGGGGCACTTTGCAAATCCATCCTCATGAATCTCTATTTAATAACAGAGAAAATGAAGTCTCAGGTGAATGAATAAATGCATTTATTTCCTAGCAAAGGGTGGGTGCTCTCTAAAGCAGTGAAGAAAGAATTAAATAGCTTGATTGAAAAGGATGCCAAGAAAATAAGAAAAATCAGTCCAGCCAGGAAAGAAAAACTGCACAAGTACTTTGTATACTGACTCTTGACGGCTTAATGAGTTCCTTGGAAACAGGGACACAGGATCAACATCACCTTCTCATGCACAGTGACAGCTATGCCAACACCCACCTTGTAACTACAGGGGAGGGAACACAAAACATGCAAAATCACATGTTGTTTTCAAGGTGGCTCAGATGTGGCCGCATTAATTGGTACTTTGTCATAAAGGAAGTAAAATTATTGGCCTAATGTAGCCCTCCCTATTCAGACCTGTTAAGATTCAAATTGATGTGGCTTTTAAGTAGCAATGTGTACAGATGCCTCTACCCTAGCGTTTTCTCAATCACTGTCAAGGCCTTGTTGATCTAAAGCCAGACTGTGGACGTGGCAGAGGATGAATGGGGTAAATACTCTGAAGGTCAGAGCAGCACTGCGCTGTCTGCTTCCAGGAGGGACAGCCAACAAAACAGTTCAATCACTCGCCATCCTGGGCAAGTGACATCACCTGTTCTAACAGCAGCTTTCCTTGTGAAAAACGGACATATCCACAATGACCTTCTGGGATTGTTGTGGACATAAAGAGGATGAAATAGATCTACAGCCTAAGACCAGTCACATGCTGGGCACACATGACACGGAATGGTGACTTTTCAACTGTGTTTAGAGAGAAGCTTCTGAGTACTTTCTGTTGAATACTTTTCCACTGGCCACATTTTTATGGAAGATTAAACTCCTCTGAATCTGAGTAGGTCAGCAAACTGGATCACAGGGCTTAACTGGTATTTACTAAAAATCACCAAATCCCAAGATGCCCCATTAAGCTAAAGAAGAAATGTTTCTCTCACCCTGGAGGGCTTTCTGGGTCATTTTCTCAGCACTACAGAATAGGGAACATAACAGGGGTCTTTTAAGAAGAGGAGGTTCACTGAGCATGGGCAGCTTCTGGGATTGTGGAGATCTTCAAGGCAGCACGTGTCTGCCTAGTTCCCACAGGGATCGTCCTCTCATCAACAACCACCCACATTTGGATGCTTGCCTGTTCCTGGTGCTCTGGGCACCCACAAATGACAAAAGTCCACCCTCTGTCCACCTTTTCTTTGAGACCTGACTTGTAGTTTGGGATGGTGCCGTTTCCTAGCTGTAGGGTAAAGAGTCACTGTGGTTTTTTTCTGGGTGTTTCTAATTATTTGGCAACCAGATTTCCAAATGTGTGGCCCAATAACTATAGCAGGGGTGTGCAACCTGCAGCCTACAGGCCACGTGATGATTTTGTGAAGATGTTTTTATTTCCTGAGACAGAGTCTCACTATGTCACCCTAGGTAGAGTGCCGTGGCATCACAGCTCACAGCAACCTCCAACTCTTGGGCTTAAGCGAGTCTCCTGCCTCAGCCTCCCAAGTAGCTGGGACTACAGGCGCCCACCACAATGCCCAGCTATTTTTTTTTTTTTTTTTTTTTTTTTGCTTATTTGTGATACTAACTATCATGAAAAGTACACATGGACCCTTATTTTGCTAATTGGCTTTCCTCAGTGTTTGTGTATTTAATGTCCAATGTGTGGCAGAGAAAAACAAGGTTGGACACTCCTGACAAGAGGCTTCCCCAGTCTGTCTTTTTATTTACGTGTGGTAAGGTTGGCCATGTACAATGGGGGGTGGAACTTTAGGGGGGAAGGACAGATGGAAAGAATATGGGGGAAGAAGAGGAGAGAATGGAAATAAAAAAAAGGAGGGAATTGAGAGAGAGCATGGAGAAGAGGAGAGGAGAGGAGCTCGTCAAGGCCCCCTGACACAGGATGCATTCCCAACAGTTTAAGCTGGCATCTCAGGCCAGAGGGAAAGACACTGAGAGGCTTTGAGGTTTTTCTATTTCATCTCTCCACCCCACCCCACCCCCGTGAGTGGTATTATTACTTTACGTATCTATACACCTTTGAATGTTTAAAACTGAAACAATGATGTTCCATCTGCTGAGCACTACCACCAGCCCCAGGGGGCCTGTGAGATGACTGCAAAGTGTAGGTGCTGGTCCCCTGCCACAGACCCTAGGCCTGTGCCCAAGCCAGTGGCACATTAGTACATTTATTAGGGGACCAACCCCTAATTCCCTTCCATGAACATTGCCATCGCTCTGCCTGCACAGAGAAGCTCCCCAAAGAATTAGGTTTTGTGCAATGTTGAAACTCCAAGGCCTGAAGCCACTTGAGTGAGGTCTGGGGTGTTTGAAAACTAACATACTGAGAATACATTGCTGAGAATACATTGCCCAGCCACGTTCTTAGAATCTTTTAAACATGTTAGAGCCCACTGACGTGGAACTCATAGTTAAACTACGAGTTCTTCAAAGTCGCAATCTTGGATTTCATATGGTTTAGGACAGAATTTCCTTCAGTAAGGAAAACATGAGTCCTAAGCTCATGCCACCACTCTGTGGTTGTGTGGCCTTGGGCAGGCTATTGCCTCTGAGCTGGAATGACATAAAAATCATTCCCTAATGTCCATACTGGATGTGAGGCTTAGGTAGGAGGATGAGTAAATAAGTATGCTCTTACCTGCAAAATTCTCAACACTCAAGCAGGTTTTCTCATAAGTTGATTTGGCTAATAAATCAGCTAAATTGATTCATTAGCTAAATCAATAATTTAGCTTAGTTGATAATAACTAAGTTGATGATCTGATCATTTCCAGGAACAAGTAGGATAGAAAGCGACCCTGAAGCCAAACTTTATTATTTTTTTCCAAACATTTCAAGGAATAGGCAGAAGGCAGAACCACCTAGAAAAAGACATTCACTGGTTTTCCAGAAAATGACCAGCATGGTGTCCTGGGTATACACATGTTGGCTGCCTTGGCAGGGCCAGTGCATATACAGCCAGGGTGGAGAAATAGGTATAGTGTGACCTCCCGTGATACCACCAAGGTTGAGACCCCATCATTGGGGTACAAGCAAAATAATTTAAATAGCAAAAAGGAACTCCAGGGAAAGAAGGAACTAGCCTAGAAGACTCTGAGTTTGAAAGTTGGTGAGATTGTTGGACTGGGACAGACCTTCCCACCCAAGGTGGAACTGGTATAATGAGTGGATCAGGTAAGGCCAACCTGCCCCAGAAATAGTAGTACCTTGAGGAAAGTGAGAACACAGAATGGTGACATGGGATGTTTCTAAATGTTCAAAGCTTCTTGGTTAGAAGGTTGGTTTGGTTACACTGTGGGCTAGAATGTTCTGAGAAACCATCTAACCTGATAGGAAGGTTGGGCTGGGAAGAGCAGAGGCTAAAAATGTGAATGCTGCGTCTGAGTTCCTGTTGTGCTGCTGTGGTCGAATACTACAGACTGGCAATGACTGGAACACATGGCATGGTTTACAGGTCTGCAGGCTGGGAGTCCAGCATCGAGGTGTTGGCATCTGGCAGAAGCCTCCTGAAGTATCAGGTCATGGCAGTG